GAAGCATTCATGTACATGATGTCAAACGACGAATTTGATACGCTCACCCTTCCATCCATAGACCCTGTGTTGAATGTACCAGAGAACCTCAGTACAGCCTTCAGGAAGGCAACAAAGTTCAAGAGTCAACGTATACCACTGTTCAATGCCAAGAAGTTCTCTCTACACCATATGGAACCCTTCATGAAGGCCCCTGAGATAGACGAGAACTACAAAATTATCAACGACGCCCGTACCAGGACTTATAAAGGGGACGATAAGAAGCTAGCACAACTAGACACAACTACCAGGCGTACCTTCTTTGGTCTAGCCAGATCAAGAGCCATCAATGAAACCCTCATTGCGAAGTTTAGAAACTCCACCTCGGAAGAAGATCGTATGATCTACTCGGCATTGTTGACCCAGAAGAAAGACCAGCAGTTTATATCGGAGCATCTGGCATCTACATCAGCAGGGTTGACGCTACTGAGAAGACAAGGGTTACTCTCTTCCTGTAATTCGAGTGAGAAGTTCACCAAGACTTTGTACAGAGCTCCATGGTCAGCATCAGCTATCTTCGCAGGGGAAATTGAAGACGTGGCCAAAGAAGTTACGAAGGAGTCTAGGGAGGTCATGATGATCAAGTCCATCGATACACTGGCCAGTGTTATCCGACAGACATCTCAATGCTACTCTGGCAAATCGAAGTTTGCGGGGATACAGAGAGCTAGAGAGAAGAAATACGGCACTTCCAGAGGAGGCAAGGATTCTTTTCGTCGCCCAACCGGAGCTCCAAGAGGTAACCCCGGAAGAGGGAGAGGATTCAGAGGTGCCAGGAATGCTAGACGTTGATGGACGGGTTCGGAACGACTGGAGTCTTCCATCCCCAGCCGTTCCCATACAACCTTCAACAGTGGGTGGATGTCTACAACACTACTGGGAGAATTGGGAATTCTTCAGGACAACTACGTATCCCAGATACTACGCAGAGGATGCAAGATACAACTACAAGCAGTTCAACCATTGACAAGCACTCCTCGGACGTACAACTATGTTACCGACCAGAGGGAGAAACTACTCGACGCCATCACAACTCCTCTCAAGAAGGAGGCAGTCGAAGAAATAAAACAGGAACTCATCACGCCCGGTTTTTACTCCCAAATCTTCTTAGTACCAAAGAAAAATTCCAAGGAAAAGTTCCGACTAATCTACAACATGAGGAAATTCAACCAGGATTATCTACGCAGACCCGCAAAGTTCAGGATGATACACCTTCCTCAACTACGACAAGTCGTCCGTCCGTTAGACTACCTCGCCAGCATAGATCTACAGGATGCGTATCTTCACATCCCAATACACCCGGACTCAAGGAGATACCTTCGATTCCTCTTCAACGGACGTCATTACCAATGGAAGGTGCTACCTTTTGGAATATCATCGGTCCCCTGGTTGTTTACTCGAGTGACAAAGCCCATCATCACATACCAACATCATCGAGGTCTACGCAGTGCATTTTACCTGGACGTCGGGATTTAAGCTCATCAAGATCCCAGTCAACTCAGACTGCAACTAGACTTCACAATCAGGCTGCTCACTCAACTAGGATGGCTAGTAAATCTCCTCAAATCGAAACTAGAACCTACACAGGATCTTCAATTCCTAGGTATACGACTCATCACATCAGCGAATCGCAGTCTTTCCAGAGGAACGTTGGGTCAAGATACAACAGATGATATCTCAAGCACTACTCTCTCCATTACCACTATGAAATTGGCAGAGCCTACTCGGTCTCCTCACGTCAACACAAGACATGACACGCAGAGGAAGACTACAACTGCGCCCACTACAAGTGTTTGTGAACGGTCATCTAGACAGTCTGGATTCCTTCGAACTACTGGACGAACTGGAACCATACCTACTATGGTGGACTCGGAAGTCGAATGTTTGCGGATGAACCTACTTATCAGAGCTGGAGTCCAACACTCATCTCTGCGCAGATGCATCTCTTCAGCGATGGGGAGCTCACCTCAACAACGAAGTGGCAGCGGGAAAATGGTCGAGTCAGGAACAAAGTCTGCACATCAACATGCTTGAAATGAACGCCTTACTACACTGGTCCAGCATACTAAGGAACGCACAGCTGATGATCCATACGGACAACTCCACAGTGGCGTTCTACATCAACAGACAAGGATCAACAAGGTCAATGAATCTGTTAGACCTCAGCTTTCAGCTATTCAGTATAATAGACAACCTGAACATCGACATAAAAGTATGCCACATTCCCGGAGCCAAAAATGTGATAGCAGACGCCCTATCTCGTCCAACGCAACCATCCCCGACAGAGTGGATGTTACATCCAGAGGCGTTCAGATGCATCATTCAGACGATAGGATCTCCACTGATAGACCTGTTTGCGACAAAGTTCAACAAACAACTACCAACATTCGTCTCTCCGATTCGAGATCCACAAGCATGGGCAACAGATGCTTTAAGCATATCTTGGGAAGGACTAAACGATTACGCGTTCCCTCCTCCAGCTCTAATACCGAAGGTGTTGCAGAAAATCAAGGAGACGAAGAAGCTGTAACTGATTTTGGTCGCGCCCTACTGGCCAGCGAGAGTGTGGTTTACCATTCTCATACAAGAACTCGGAAATCCAACCCTGCAACTCCCAGAGTGGCCAAACCTACTAGTTCATCCGCACACCAAGGAAGCACACGGAAATCCAACAGTATTTCAGCTACACGCATGGAACGTATCACGACTTGCTTGAAGAAAAGAGGATATCCGCCAGAGCAGCAAACGCAGTCACATTAGCTCTACGTAGATCAACCCGCAACTTGTACGACAACAAGTGGCAGAGTTTTGAGAAATATGCATTGAGTAAGGGTTTCACGGCGATGAAAGCAACACATCCTCAAGTGGCGGAATACCTTTGTCATCTAAGACCATCAAGGCGGCTAAAAGGGTCAACACTCTCTACATACCTAGCAGCCCTCAGCACAGTTATCACCATGAAGACCATGAAGCTTACCAAAGTACCAGAGATACTGGCATTACTACACTCCTTTAAGTTGGAAGACTAACCAAAGAAGTTTAAGGCGCGCCTGCTTGGGATCTCAACATGGTCTTGCAGCATCTCACCAGTGACGCTTACGAACCACTAGAAAGGACATCATATGAGAGGTTAACTCATAAAACTCTGTTCCTGATCGCCTTGGCAACAGCAGAAATACATGCTCTGGACTGAACGAACACAATTTGACGCACATCGTGATTCTGTACATCTGGGATTGAGATGGGACTTTATAGCAAAGAACCAACTGCCCGGTCAACCAGACAGACAGTTCCATATCCGAGCACTCTCGTCAATCCTAGGGCCACAGGATACTCAAGATTTATCCCTATGCCCAGTCAGAGCATTGAAAGTCTACCTACAAAGGTCGAAAATGAGGAGACGAAAATTCAAGCGCGCCTTTTCATCCCTCTATCTACGGAGACGCCTACAGAGGTCTCACATACAACAATATCAATATGGATGAGAGCCGTCATATTGAGAGCCTACAAAGCAGCAGGACTTTAGCCTCCACGAGCCTCCAATCCTCATGAAGTCTGGCGTCGACACTCGCTCTGCATGGGAACTGCTCCATCTCGACAATAATGGAGGGCTGCTTTTGGAAGTCGAAGACGGTGTTTGCCAACCACTACCTCAGAGACATGCCTACCGAGGACGTCTCCGTCATTCACCAGTTTGGGCCTCTTGTTGTAGCACAACAATTGACGGTTCCTCAAAGACGCTGAGATGAATCTCACCCTATTTATCATATGACTTGTAAAAGCCAACACTCGGAAGAGTTAGAGCTTTAGAGTCCATGCACACGTCTAGGACAGGCTAGCATGAGTGACAGACCCTGTACTTGTAAGGACTTACTTGTACATGAAGAAGGGTCGCTTCTCCAATTGATGCGAGCATCAAGATATGGAGTTGCATAAATCCACACATAATGTCAAGAGAAGACGATTCCAGAGAGTTGTGGTCCCCCCAGACTCATCAGAGGAAGCTGGAAGAAAGGACACAGTGCCATTAGAAGTTCCCTAGGGGGGTATGCAGGACGTAAATCAGCAGCTATGAATCCAGAGTGGCTTGACCCACCACTGGTTCCGTCGGATTCTACAAGCATTTAAGCATGAGTCAGGATAAGGAAAAATATGTATTTTTCTGATTATTTTATACTTATCCTGACTCATGAGGTCAGCCCTCCCAACCTCCCCTCATGGCACTCTGGATTTCCCTGTAGATCCGGGTGTCAGGCTCATATTCGGAGAGAGTGAAGAGCATGTCTGATCATGTGACGGTTTTTGTCGCCAAATAGCAAAGGGAGGCTACTCGTGGGGTGAGTGATTTTACGTCCGCTTTTTTGAAGGGAGCTTCAAAAGGGGATTCAAGTGTTCCACTATAGTTCGCAAGAGGAAGGAGACAAGCAATTAAGCATGAGTCAGGATAAGTATAAAATATCAATTTTAATCAGAAAATTACATTGTATTCAACTTCACAGTGAAGGTTGAAGAGGAGGGACATATTTAAAACAGAGTAACATTAAAATGTAAAGAGGTGGAATCACATGTAATAATCCAATAAATAAACGTAGTCATAGTACTAAGGTTGCTTTTGTACAGTGGTGCTCTGACTGTACAGTTGTCATAGTACTAAGGTTGCTTTTGTACAGTGGTGCTCTGACTGTACAGTTGTCATAGTACTAAGGTTGCTTTTGTACAGTGGTGCTCTGACTGTACAGTTGCATCATACAGTGCCTCTATTTTGCATCAAATATTTATCTCATTATCTGACAATTTGAACTTTTGACTGTAAGGAATTTGAAATGTCATAATTGTTATATAGATTTATGTAGACAAGCTGTGTTTGATAGCAAGAAAAACTTCAGATTCAGATCACAAGTTTGGCACAGTCCACTTTAAATCCAAAAGGACAACTGTTTCTATTATTATAACTGTTCCAGATATAAAACAGAAGCCATGCATCCAGATGGACATCAGAAAGATGAAAAACCGGGTCATGGTCGTGATGCATGGGAAGTGGCTAACGAGTACCAGCGAGATAGACCACACTCAGGTAAGTCATCCCACAATATCCATTGTTTATGTGTAATCTACTGTCACCTTCAAAGTTTGGTTATTGGCCCTACATGGTCAGGAACAGATAGGGGTGATGGTTGTACATGTCTTCCTACTTCGTGTCTTACTATCGTGGTTTGGTAATTAGATGATACGAGGGACAGTCAAAAAGTAGTGAGCCTGACCTAGTAAATGATACAAATGCAGCTGTTTTTATGTTTTATTTTTCTACATATTATCTGTCAACCTCAAGCAAATTGGTTTTGCTACGTTCCAGCCTTACGATCCCCATTTTGTTTGAAATTTTATTTTGGTACCCCCCAAAAGCGCAAAATCTGCAATAAATGCACCACAAACTTCAGGTAACAAAATATGCAAGAAACATTTTTTGTGTTTGAGATAGGTAGACGTCCGCTAGAATCAAACTTAGATATTAAAGTGGATAAAAAAGCAATTTGAAAGTACAATCGCTTGTTAAAGTGATTCCCCTTTCATGTTTACTGAAACAGCTTGTTTTGGAGACACTACCCACCCCCGTTCAGACGACGAATTCATAAGGACATAACTTATTCTAATATTTTCACTTTTTCACACATGATGCTAAAGGTTCAAAGTAAATACTGAATGGTCACACAAGTGTCAACTCTCAGTATATTGTAAACAGGGCCAGCTTGAATATCTGGCCAGCTTGAATATCTGGACACAATGTTTTTGAAAGACTAAAATGGGTGTGTCCTTAAAAAAACAGCCCTGTCTAAACATAAATCAAGCAATCCAAATCTTTGAATGTTGATTATGACGGGAAGTCATCCAATACTATACTAACATATTTTATATGACATTATCTGAGGGCATACCATTATCCAAGAGGTACTAAATGACGGATCGTTTTTCATTTTCTGCATTTTTTCTAGAAATATTATACCCCAATGTGTTGTGATGACTAATATCTCGTTAATCACATTACCCACATATGTGAAATTTTTTATACGACTTTGCTAATGATTCCTACAAACTAAAATGGAAGCTTTTCAAACATTGGACATCGAGAATATAGTTAGGCTACATACTTTTTGACCGACCCTCGTACTTTCTAATATCAATTGATTTTGCCATATTTTAACCTTGACATTTTTTTGTTAACATCTTTGCCAGTTGCATACCCGGTACAAGCTTTCTCTACCACCGGTCTTGAATTGTCCACCAATATCAATTAAAATTCTTCCTTTTAATCGTCTTGTATTCTATGAATTGTGCTGATTGTAAGTGTTCATTTCATTGGTTTTCCATAATTCACTAACAACCAATGGCTGTTTATGCCTGCGTCACATGATACTCATAATGCACAGCAACCTGAACCCAAGGTGGCAAAGTTGCCACGTCTCATAGTCCTAATAGTCTTGTCGTGCTAGTAAGTAAATTAGTAATACATGAAATACCCATGAAACTAAATCAATCAATATCATTTTGAGTATGCACAATCAAGCGCATGGTTTTTATTAATTTTTCCTTATCCTGGCTCATGATATTTTGCTTATCTCCTTCTTCTATGCGAATGTTAGTGGAACACTTGAATCCCTTGTAGTTCCCTAAAGCAGACGTAAAAGGTCTCTCACCCACGAGTTGCCTCCCTTTTCCCGCGCAAACAGTCATGTGATGTGCCATACTTGTCACTCTCTCCTTCATCGCCCAAGCGGATGGTTGGGCGAGCACTGGAGTCCCGTATATGGCACCATCTCCTTTAATATTTAGATCCTTTTATCCAAATTACACTGTGTATAGTTTTTGGTTATATTTACCTTGCATTGTATGTCAAAATTTTGAAGAAATTATTCGTATTTTGTGACATATTTCATCACAATGTAGTTTGTTTACAGTTTTTGAAATCTTGCAGTGTTTGCAGGTACCTGCAATAAGTGGCTGATCCTCACCCCCAATGCTAATCGTGAACGCTTCGTCCGCACCGCATCAGTTCCAGCCTACAACGCAGAACTTCGAGCCTGGCGACTTCATGAGGCAGTTTACAACGCGGATGATGGCCATGATGGAGCGTTGGTTAGCCGAAGCAACGGCACGGCAGAACCCTACGATGGCAGACAACGTTCGCAGAACTTCGGACCGTCGCGAACCTGAGACAGCTACATCCATGCCCCACAGGTTACAACTGAAGACGACGTTCGCAAACGTTTACGTTCGCGAAGATCTTCACGCTCCGAAGACTCAATCATCATGGGGGAAGATGAAGGTTCCGCGTAACGACCCTGAAACTACGAGAGATATGTCTGCGAACCCTATATGTTCGAGAATGTCAAGAAGGTCCTCTCCGAGATCCAGTCGCTCCACATCTAGATCCCGCAGCTCCCACAAACGTTAGACAATTCATGCGCCTATTCATCCCCTTGTCAACGGAGACATGTGTAGAGGTCTCAAGAACGACAATATCGTTTTGGATGAGAGCCGTTATACTGAGGGCCTACAAAGCAGCAGGATTAGAACCTCCAAGAGCTTCCAACCCACATGAAGTCAGAGCACTAGCGTCTACACTCGCTCTGCACGGAAACTGCTCAATATCATCTATAATGGAGGGCTGCTTTTGGAAGTTAGATACAGTGTTTGCCAACCACTACCTCCGAGATATAGCCACCGATGACGTCTCCGGCATTCACCAGTTTGGGCCACTTGTTGTAGCACAACAGCTAACGGTTCCACAAAGGTGCTGAGTTGGAAATCTGACCCTTTATCACGTTGACTTGTTGATAACCTTCACTCTGAAGAGTTTTGGTTGAGAGTCCATGCGCACTGTCTAAGACCAGACTAGCATGAGTGATTAAGACTTTGTACGGGTAACAATCTCACCTGTACGTTAAGGGATCGCAACTCATTTATTTGTTACGATCTTATCATAATCTATGGGTTGTTTATAGGTACTGTAAACATACTTTTTTTCGCTTGGTGCAAATTTCGCGGAATTGACAGTTTAGACTACATCGCGTGGTCAATTATTCGCGCAGTCAGTAATTGCCGGAACTGCCAGCTGTCTTAGGCCGCCACTAATAGCAATGAAAACAACCAGAGTGGCTTAACCTATCAGGCGGCGTGTATTGCTACCTACCCCCTACCCCCAAGACACCTGGACTTCCAGATCCAAATGATTGCAAAGATGACACTGAGGCCGAAGTCGTAATCACGTAATTTCAAACAAGCCGGGTTTTTGTGAATGTGATGATTGATGTGTTAATTGACTATCAAGGAAATGAACTTCTACCGTATATGAAGCTTTTTGTGATTTCATTTAGTGATATGCAGGAATAAATATAAATAAAATCTTAATGAATAAATAAAATACCCTTATGTTACCCCATTCCATGTGCGTACAACTTACCACGTTCATGAGGGTCCGTATAACGTAAGTGTTGATTATATATATTTTACATTTATAGAGCAAAAACTGTAATTAAAATTATGACAATGCTAGTATATATTTTGTAAGGTTAAAATTTTTCCTTATCCTGACTCATGCTCTTTTTGCTTGTCTTCTTCTTCTTGCGAACATAGTGGAACACTTGTATCTCCCTAATTGAAGCTCCCTTCAATTTAAAATCACTAATTAGTATTCACCACGAGTTACCTCCTTTCCACAAGCGCGGGAACGAGGGCGCCACCTCTACCCATGTGCCTCACTCTCTCCTTCTTCGCCCAGTGAGCTGGACGTGAGAGCGCCTGTGTCTCCCGACACACTATATCCTTTGAATTATATTTAGTTAGTTACCTCGTATAGACATCTATAGAGGTTTAGCTAGTATCCTTCAACGATTATATATTGATATTTAGTCGTTTTCTACAGTTTATTCACGGGGCCGTGTTTGTTTCAGTGGATTACGTTGATGAAAATTCTGTACTATTGCAGATTACGTTTTTATGCTGCTGCTGATCCGCCTTTAATATGATATGCGGTAGCCATGTTTATTATATTCACATTGCAGTTCGCGGTACTAATTTATCAATTCTACCTTTTATTAATATTTACTTTGCGTTTGGCTTGCGCACAGCAGATAGATGCGTCGTATGCAGAGTCTAGTATGACTGATACACGGAACCCTAAGCCAGTCTACTGCTGTTGGCCGACTCCCCTCCCGTGTGGTGTTCGCTAGAGTGGTGGAGAGGTGTGGGGCGTAGTCCGCCATCTCAAGAAGCATCCTGCTTCCCCAGACATCCCATCGTCGCAGCAGAAGACTAGAGGGTTTTTCTACTACATCTCAACAGCGAGACCGTTCCCATCGAAGTTTTGGGCCTGTATGATGATCAGCCGGTCATCATGCGGATGTACATCAAAGATTGACCCGATGTCGGCACAGATCAGCATGCAGCCTGATGTACCAGCGCAGATATCGCGATGATCGTCCTGAGGGTCCCATCATTACCAACACTCAGCGCAGGCGTCGCGCACCCAGGGCAGCGTCGACCTCTGAGGGAAAATCAGCGAAGTCTACTAGGACTTTCTCAGCGAGATTGTTCCAGCCGATGACCTGGACCTCTACGATGATCAGCTGATCATCATCCCGGCGATGCATACAAGAAGCGACCCGGGGACAGCTACAACGACATCAGCAGAGATCACCATGCAGCCTGATGCCTCTACACTGATGTCGGACGATTTTCGGTGGACCCCTCCATTAACACCGCAGATAAAGCACCGGCGACCTCGTCGCCAGACCATCCCAGAAGACATGATGCGACAAATTATGAACATCATGGAGGACCAATATCTCGCGGTAGCAGGGTCGAACCTTCCGCGAAGGCTCCAAGCGTGAACAGCACCCCAGAGGCACCCCCGTCAGCGTAGCAGCCAGGGCGATGTCACCTTAGCGAAGGAAGTCGCGGACCACCTTGGCCGAAGGACCTAGATGTACAGCCCAGCGAAGGCCTTGGCGCGGCGGAAAGGACCTAGATGTACAGCCAGCGAAGGCGGAAAGAACCTAGATGTACAGCCAGCGAAGG